CTTTTCTCTTTCTTTCTTTCTTTCTTTCTTTCTTTCTTTCTTTCTTTCTTTCTTTCTTTCTTTCTTTCTTTCTTTCTTTCTTTCTTTCTTTCTTTTTTCCTTCTATGTAAAGGGAGAGATTGGGAAAACTGGCAGACTCTCTAACATCTTTGTATACACTTATAACTCTGTTCTTCAGCCAAGAAAAATAAAAATGTATGTCATAGACATAGACAACTTGTACACAAAGGTTCACATCACCTCATCCAAGAACTGGAAGCAAGGAGTTATCCTTAAATAAGTAAATGTATAGAAAAATTATGATGTATCTACACAGGAAAAATGCTGTGTAATATAGGTAAATCGTCAGTACATGACATGGAAACATAATCATGCCCAGTTAAAGAAGAAGTAGCATTTCTTCCTGTGGTATGATAACAATGTTCCCTGGAGACAGGAATGGCTTAGCGAGAGGCCATGGCCATGGCTGCCCAGAGGCATGCAGAGGAGCTTGCAGCTCACTTCAGTTGTGATGAAGGCTGAAGGCATGTGCACTATTTGCTGTTCTTTACATGCCCAAGGGCACCACTCTGCTAAGAGCTACTATATTCTCTTGAAGGACATTGTTAGTCTCTTTTTCCCATCTAAAATGAGAAACAATTATAGTCACATTACTTATAGCAGGGTTTTTGTTTGTTTGTTTTTGGTATTTAGAAAATATAGTTGTGTGGTGGTGTATATCTTTAATCTCAGCTCTTGGGAAGCAAAGGTAGGCAGATCTCTCAGTTCAAGGCCAGCCTGGTCTGTAGAGTGAGTCACAGTTCCAGGACAGCCATGGCTGCACAGAGAAACCCTGTCTCTAAAAAAACAAACAAACAAACCAAAACAAAAACAAAAAGAAATAAAAAACCAACCAACAAACAACAAACAAAAAAAAAAACCAATATAATATATGAGATATCCAGTGAAGTTTTTTTAGTTTTTATTTAGTGATAATCATACTTAAGATAATAGATTGATGATTAAAAGAATAATTTGATAGTTATGTCATTATATTTAGTTTTGTGTAAGTGTGGAAATGTGAATGCCACTGTGTATGGAGATCAGAGGGCAACCTTGGGAGTTGTTTTTCACCTTTTATGTTGTGTAAAATAGGGTCTCTTTTTGTTTTTCATTGCTATATCTGCCAGAATAACTGACCCATATACTTTTGGGTTAT